GCATTGTCTCTTATATAACTGACTATCTGTGCTCTATTTGTAGACACTTTAGTATCAGAGAGATGGTTTTGTCAGTAACAAGCAGGAAGACCCAAGTTTGTTCCCCAGAACCCACATATAAAAAGCTAAGTGTGGTGGTACACAGTTGTAATCCTAGTACTGGGGAGGTGGAAGACAGGCTGTCTTAGGGTTTCATTGCTGTGAAGAGACACCATGACCAAGGTGAACATTTAATTGGAGCTGGCTAACAATTTCAGTGGTCTCATCTGTTATCATGGTGGGAAGCATGGCAGCAAGCAGGCAGACATGCTACTGGAGAATGCTGGCAGTTATTTTATGAACACAAATAATGCTACAGTGGATATTCTTGTGTACATTCCCTTGAGCATATATCTAAAATGTTCTATATTCAGAGAATCATATTTCTAAGCACATAACTTTTATAGAAGTGTGGGGATTTTCTATATGGTAGACAGGCCTTTGGCTCTTTGGAGTAGTGGTATATTTTCCAACAGTGAACACATGTTCTTGTTTCACAATATTCTCTGGCTAATTCTTTTGTACTCAGAGAAGGGCTTAGGGGAAGGATTGTTTTAAGGTGTGTGTGTGTGTGTATGTGTGTTTGTGCGTGTGTGTGACAGAGACAGAGAATGAGACAGAGACAGAGAAAAACAGAGAGACTGTGTCTGGGTGGGATGAGTATACGCCAGGTATCTGTTGACCAGAAAAGGGAGTCACTTCTCTTGAAGTTAGAGTTAGAAGAGATTGTGAGCTGCCCCAGAGTGGGTGCTGGGAACTGAACTCAGGTCTTCTGAAAGAGCAGCAAACACTCCTAACCTCTGAGCCATCTGCCCTTTCCCTGATTTTTAAGACAGGGTCTCATGACATCCAACTTCTAATTCTGCTTTCACATCCCATGTGTTAGAATTCTAGATGACCGAGTGTGCTAGCAGCCTATAACCAAGCTTGTAAACCTCTGCTGCTATTCTGTTTTTCTGTTAGAAAGGAGAGGCCATTGTTACCAGTAGGTAAAGGTCCTAGGACAGGACCCACAATGTCAGGGTTTTACTGCTGTGAACAGACACCATGACCAAAGCAGCTCTTATAAGGACAACATTTAATTGGGGCTGGCTTACAGGTTCAGAGGTTCTGTTCATTATCATCAAGGTGGGAGCATGGCAGCATCCAGACAGGCATGGTGCAGGACGAGCTGAGAGTTCTACATCTTTATCTGAAGTCAGCTAGTGGAAGACTGACTACCAGGCAGCTAGGACTACGTACGGTATTAAAGCTCACACCTACTGTGACACACCTACTCGAACAAGGCCATACCTCCAAATAGTTCCACTCCCTGGGTCAAGCATATACAAGCCATCACTTTCCACTCCCTGGCCTCCATAGGCATGTTCAAACACATGAGTCCATGGGGACCATACCTAGCCATAGCATAATAGAAAAGTACATTTAGTCCAACTTCCGAAGCCCCCATAGTCTCTCGCAGTCTCAGCAGGGTTAAAAGTCCAAAGTTCAAAGTCTCTTCTGCGACTCGTCCAATCACTTAACTGTAATCCCCAAGGCAAGACAAGGAAAACAGATGGGCACACTCCAAAATCTGTACCTCCATGTCTGATGTCAAAGTAGTCTTCAGATCTCCACTCCTTTTTCTTCTTTGTTGACTGAAACAAACTTCTTTCTCCTGGGCTGCTTCACTCCCTGTTAGTAGCTTTCCTCAGCAGGTATTCCATAATTCTGGCATCTCAAACAATGTCCAAGGCAACTTCAATATTACAGTTTCTTGTTTCTGTGTCTGAGATCCACAAATGATCTTCTGGGGTCCTCCAAAAGGCTGGTGTCACTTCTCCAGCTCTGCCCTCTGTAGCACTCAAAGCTCAGGTTGATCCACTCCACTGTTGCTGCTGTTCTTGGTTGGCCATCCCATGGTACTGTCATCTCCAATACACTGTAGTCTTCCGCTACAACTAGGCTTCACCAATAGCCTCTCATAGGCTCTCTTCATGGTGCCAAGCCTCAAGTCCTTTGCATGACCCCTTCAGGCTGCCCTTCACCAATGGCCTTCCATGGCCTCTCACAGTGCCAAGCCTCAGCTTCATGACCCCTTCATGCCTTCATGACCCCTTCATGCCCTCAAAACCAGGACCACCTGGGGGTGACTCTTACACATTACCAAGTACAGCTGCAGCATGAGGTACAATCTTGGCTACCTCTGTCTGGAACACAGATTCTTTGTGCTCTCAGAAAACACTTCCTAGAAGATTTCACCTCAGTGACGCTGGTTTCTTCTTAATCACCACTAATTTCTTAGCTCCAGCTAACAAGTATCCATTGTCCCAGTAGTCCCTTCTATTTTTCACTCTAAAGCCAGAGCCACATGGCTGAAGCTGCCAGGTTCTGGTGCTTGCTGGGGGTAGAACATGGCCCCCCTTATTCTATTACCAGCCTTCTATTTTCCAACTCTCTCACTGCCTAAGCTTGGTTTTCCTTGAACTTGCTCTGTAGATTGTTCAGAGATCTGCACGGCTCTGTCTCCTGTAATGCTGGGATTAAAGGCATGTATTACCACGCCTGGATTTAAGCTTTTCTTCACATAGAACTTGCTTTGTCCCAGGCTGGCCTTGAACTTCGAGATCTGCATGGCTTTGTCTCCTGGGATTAAAGGTGTGTACCACCATGCCTGGATCTAAACTTAGCTGGGTAGGAGCTTGGACCCAAACCCCCTAGAACATAGGGTTCTTTTCCATTTCACTTCCTGGTGCCCCTTTAATACTTGAACGGTGTATTTTATATTTTTCCTTTCAAAGCTTGCTGTGCTTGTTCAAAACACTCTTCATGAGACTTAACCAGAGAACAAAGTCTCTGCTCGGCTCTTCTGAGACTTCCTTTGTCAGTGCAATTAACCTGAGTCTCTTCACCTTGGCCTCAGGCAGACTCCTCAGACAAGGGCAAAAAGTAGCCACATTTTTCACCAAAATATTACAAAACAGTCTCTAGGCCCCATATTGAAACTCTCTACTGAAACCTCTTGGGCCAGGTCTGCTCAATTCAAATCACTCTCAGTAACAGTCTTTTATTATTCCTACTAGGATAGCTCATTAAGTCCCAGGTAAAGCATTCCACTGTTTTCTGAATCTAAAGTCCTCAAATCCATATTCTTCCAAACAAAAGCATGGTCAGGCCTATCACAGCAGTACCCTATACCTGGTACCAACTTCTGTCTTGGTTAAGGTTTTACTGTTGTGTACAGACACCATGACCATGTCTTATAAAGGACAACATATATTTGGGGCTGGCTTATAGGTTCAGAGGTTCAGTCCAGTATCATTAAGGCAGGAACATGGCAGCATCCTGTCAGGCATGGTATAGAAGGAGCTGAGAGTTCTACATCTTCATCTGAAGGCTGCTAGTGGAAGACTGACTTTCAGGCAATGAGGACTAGGGTATTAAAGCCCACTCCCACTGTGACACACCCACTCCAACAAGGCCACACCTCCAAACAGTTCCACTCTCTGGGCCAAGCATATAGAAACCATCACACACATGATGAGAGAGAGCTAATTCCCACAAGTTGTCTTCCTGTCCTCTGACCTCCATATATATGTTCGGCTACATTCACAGACACCAAACTATACATACCCAACAATAAATTAATGGATGAATTCAGATGGCTTCATTTATTGTTAATTATTATTTGTATGTGTGACTATGAGCACACATGTAGCACAGTAGTCATGTATATTTAGAGAACAACTCTGGGGAGTTAAGTTTTCTGCTTCCTGCTGTATGGGATCAAACTCAGGTGGTGAGACTTATGAGGCAAGTGCCTTACCCATGAGTTATTTCACCAGCCCTAAATTACCTCTTAGTTTAACATTCTAGTGCTTATTCTGCTAGAACAAAATGCTTAATTTTTTTAATTAAAGAAAGTGACTTTACTTTTAAAAAACAGTTATAATAATTTACTTGGTGCTTGAATTTTTTATTACTTTTTATTAATAGAGTTGGAGATGTAGCTCATGTGGTAGAGGGTTTGTCTAGCATCCACACCACCATGGGTTCGAAACCCAGCACTAGATAAATTTGACATGGTGGCCCATCTGTTCCTTAATCCCAGCACACAGGAAGTAGAACAAGAGGATCAGAATTTCCAGGTCACACTGAAGTTTGAGGCCAATCTGGCATACATAGAACCCAGTCTAAAAAAAAAATCATTTTCAATTAAATATTTTTGCTTAAATGTTTACTCTCTTACTAAATGTTTGTCTTCAAGGAGGGAAAGAGTGGGGAAAATAAAGAGGTTATTTTTCCCAGAATCAGGTAGGCTACTATCACATGATGAGGAGAGAAACTACCATCCAAGTGGGCAGACTACAGACTCACAAGAATAATCTCTCAAGTGGGAAAGCTGCAGTTTGAATTCACGAGGAAGCTTACTGCAGTTTTCATAATGTGACGATTGAAAGCACCTGCCTATCCAGCAGCAGAAAATGCTATCGTAGACTGTAGTATTCCTGTTCTGGTGTGTACTTGGTCACTGAAAATGATTTATAAATATAACACTGGAAAAAGCTTGTGTTACCTATTAATGTTTTATGACTGTACAGGGTGGTGCAATTCTGTATTTTGATTAAAGTAGACAGTGAAATGAATTGAAAGTAGGTACATTAGAAATACTTTATTTCTGTGTGAGAATTGGATTTAGTGTAAGTCTGTATGTATAAAGCCGTCCTGTTATGGAAGAAGCTTTGAAAAGCAGCTGCCACTCAACTAAGCGTTTGTTCTGTGGTAATACTCAAACTATAAGACAGTTTTCTCTCATGCCAAGGCACCCTTGTCTGGGACAGTTAGACTTCTATGTGACACCCCTGTGCCCCAGCCTTTGCTATTGCTTTGTTCTTGCTGGAGTTGAGTGGCTGCTTCAGCTGCAGAGAACTCACCAGGCCCATGAGAAGTAACTCTATTGGACTGTTTTCTGTCATGAACAGGTTGTTGGTGTGCCTGTTGGCTCTGCCTTACCTTCCACAGTGAAGCAGGCTGTGGCAATCAGTAGTGGCCCAATTCTTGTCGCCAAGGCCAGCTCTTCTGTCACCAAAGCTGTTGGCCCAAAACAAGTTGTGACCCAAGGAGTTGCCAAAGCAATTGTGAGTGGAGGTGGAGGGACCATTGTTGCTCAGCCAGTACAGACCTTAACCAAGACTCAGGTCACAGCTGCTGGGCCGCAGAAGAGTGGCTCCCAGGGCTCAGGTAAGTATCTCAGTTAAGGACTTTTCAGCTGCACCACTGTGTAGATTGCAGTGACTTGATTTGCTATTGGGTTCTGACTAGGAAAGTGATGTAAGTGATGTGCCAGTTCATTCTCCTGGGATAGTTTACGTAGAGAACCATAAGTAGTTTAAGCTTTATTTTGTGTATGTACTGTAGATGTCTGTGCAAGCAAAGTCAAGATCAAAGGTATCCATGATCTTCAGGTATGAAGTCATTCTCACCTGTTCTTGCCCCACCTCAGTTGTGCTTCAGATTTGGAACCCTGGCATGATCAAGTGTCAGCAACATTTGACATGTATAAGTAGTGAACTCTACCAAGCAGATGTTTGAACACCTTGAATAAGCTTTAGCCCTTGATGCTTCTGAGAGCATGAAAATAAAATGTTTACAATATTAACATATTTACTTTAGAGGTCTTTTCTTTTGTTTTTGAGGTTTATTTGTGAGGATGTTTTGCCTGCATGTTGTAGTGTTAAAAATAAGCACAAAAGGGGCCAGAGAGGTGGCTTAGCCATCAAAGGTGCTTGCTGCTTTTCCAGAGTTCAATTCAGCACCTAATCTGGGTGACTCATAACTGCCTGTAACTTTTACCCCATGGGATCCATCACTCTCTTCTGGCCTGTGTAGGTGCCTACATATGTGCATGTGTCCAAAATACCCACCTACACATGCACAAATAAATAATAAATCATTTAAAAAATCCTTTTATATTCAAATGCTTTGAACAGTCAGTAAGGAAACTTTACTTTCCTTATATTGCCGTAGCACTTAGCTGAAGTTAGCTTCAGTATGTATGTGTTAGGTAATGCCTACAAAGGGTTCCTCTGCCTGTTTCTGCTGGGTCAGTATCGGTCGCTCTCTGCTGCCTCCTTTTGCTCTTCACATAGAAGCCCTGTACAGTACCATAGTGACAGTGAAAAGGGTTCCGTCTACTCTAACAGGTCTCTCCAATAAACCCATTGTTTTCTGTTAAAAGACAATTGGGGAATTATTTATTTTAATTTTATGTGTATGGTGTTTTGCCTACATAAGTGTGGAAAACTGTATACATTAAGTATCCATAGAGGCCAGAAGAAGGAGTCAAATTTCTTGGACCAGGAGTTAGAGATGGTTGAGCCACTGTTTGGGTGCTGGGAATAGAACCCAGGCCATCATGAAAAGCAGTCAGTGTTCTTTAACTACCTATCCATTTCTCCACCCTCTAAAATAAGTCTTTTTTAAAAAATTATGTGCATAAGGACCTGGCTTGTTGGTAGAACTCCAGTATGTGGGAGAGTCATGAGTTTTAATCCAACTTGGTCTCTGTAATGGGACCCTCCCACCCCCCGTTTTTAAAAAGATTTATTTACTTATATGTACTGTGTTCTGCAGTCCAGAACAGGCACCAGATCTCATTACAGATGGCTGTGAGCCAGGATCTCTGAAAGAACTTTCAGTGCTCCTAGCCTCGGAGCCATCTCTCTAGCTAGAGAAGACCTCTTTTATAAGCAGGGGAGAAGGGAAGAAGAAGGGAGAAGGGCCAGGCAGTGATGGCCCGTACCTTTAATCCCAGCACTCAGGAGGCAGAGGCAGGTGGATCTCTGAGTTAGAGGCCAACTTGGTTTAGAGTGAGTTCCAGGGCTACACAGAGAAACCCTGTCCCACCGCACCCAAAAAAGAAGAAGAAATAGTTTGGGCTAGGAAGATGGGCTCGTTGCCATGCAAAATTGGGCTCAGCCTGTTTATATACAGCATACATTTATGGAAGGCTTTTCTAGGATATAAATGATTTAGTTTAAGACATCTAGGAAATGAACCAGGTTTTTACTCTTCGTTAACTAGCTGTGTTATTGCTCCATGTTTTAATTTTAGAATGTTATCTGTAGTTGATGACCTTGTTTTTCTACTCTTCTGTCATTTTAGTAATGGCAACCTTGCAGCTACCAGCCACTAATTTGGCTAACTTGGCAAACTTGCCTCCGGGCACTAAACTGTACCTTACTACGAACAGCAAGAACACTGCAGGAAAAGGGAAGCTGCTGCTGATTCCTCAAGGAGCCATCCTTCGAGCTGCCAACAGTGCCAGTTAGTACATCATTCCATTGTTCAGTCCCCAGGTCTCTGCTTGTTCAGCTAAGGGCCGTCCTTTCCTGAGCCAGGAACTGTTTCTGTAATTCTGCTTGATTGTGTAATGGAAGAATTTGCCCAAGTAGATCTATACATATTTTAAGTAGAACGTGGGTTTAAATAATCAAAGTCTTAGGTAGTGACACTATTATTTGGGGTTTTCTGGAAAGAGTCCATCTGCTTGAGGGTTGTTTTCTTCTGACACAGATGTGTGGAGGTAGGAACCACTTGTCTCTGTGACTAGGTTTTGGTTGTATTACTAGATTTGGAGTTGAAATGACAATTCCAGGTTCATTCAGTCTAAGTGTGTGTCCTAAAGCCCCAAGGACACCAAGTAGTTTGTTTAGTTACCTAAAACTTTTGCTTTGACAGTACAGGTGGTGTTGAAAATACGGATTTCCCTTTGAATTGAAGTATATTGGTATAGGAGCCAGGCTCATTAGAAATGACTTCCTTGGCTATTGACGTATTATCTTAAATACACGTAATCTTGTCAGGCCTGGCAGTGCTTAGATGGAGAAATGACTGACCCTTGCCCAGTACATTGTTAAGCCACTTGCCGTTTCTCTAATGGGTTGTTGCCACTTACTCTGGTATATTTTCCTCACACCTAAATAGTAGTACAGTGTCAAAAAGATTTGTAAGGAAGGGCCAGCCTCCATATTCTGTGTGGAAGCAGATGGCATCTCTGTCTCCACCTCCCTCAGAGTCAGAGACTGTTGAAGGATTGTGCTTGTTGTAATCAAGGTGACGAAGTTTGTTGAATGTGTGTTTATAGTCCAGTTAGCTCACCAACATGGAAGGAGAAAGGAAAAAAAGGCTTTGAAGTGAGATCTGAAAAAGAATTGGGAACTTGGAGCCAGAAATGGCTAATTTGATTTCAAAACGTTGTCTAGAAAATATTAGCATCAGATTTTCATCTTAAGTCAAAATACTGTCAAAAGTAAATTCTTCTTTGTACTCAGAGTGGAGGTATAGTCAGCTACTAGTCTCTTAAAAGTACAAGTCAAGTGTCCTCTTATCTAGAATGCTTGGGACCGGACATTGATTGCAGTTTTTAGAGTTTAGAATTTTTATAGAGACTTTATCAAGTATAATCCAAAAAATCTAATGTGCTCTGTAATCTAGAACTTTGAGTGTTACTTCAGTATATAAAAATGGTTTGAATTTAAGATTTCCAGACTGTACATGCTGAAGGACTAAGAAAATTCAGTCTCGGTCTTTAAGCCCTGGGGAGTTTTCCTCACGGTAGTGTGGGCAAAGCGTCTATGCTCATCTGCTTTTTCTGTCGAGCTACTTCCTGTGATGTTCTTGTCACCCATTTTGCTTACAGACCTGCAGTCTGGCTCCGCTACTGCTGGTGGCAGTGGCAGCAGTGGTGCAGGGGGAGGCAGTGGAGGTGGCGGTGGCAGCGCAGCAGGAGGACCCCCAAGCACCTCTGGCCCAGGAGGGGGCCCCCAGCAGCTGACTTACACATCCTACATCCTCAAGCAAACCCCCCAGGTCTGGGAAGCATATACCTAAACTTTAAATTACTTAGCTACTTGATAAGTGCCTTTGATTATTGTTGATTTCCCTTTACCATTTTAGCCATGTTATAAATCTGTATTATTTTGAGCTTGTTTTGCTTTGAAAGGTAAAAAGATAGATTTAGAAAGATTTAAATAATTGATATAAGACCTTCCTTCCTGCTAAGCTAATGGTAGAGTTTGGATTTGTGCTCTACATCTTTCTGCCCCAAAGAAAGAGCCTGCTATGCTAATTGTTCCTCCTGACCCCCCCCCCCCATCCACTAGGTAGTAAATAGTATTAGTGTACAATCGAAACTCTGCTTTTAGAAAGGTAAAAGCAGAGGCAGCATCAGGTTGTGGTGATTGGGTTGGATTCAGTGAGGAAAAGTTTCATTCTTCTTTTTCCTTGTTGCTGTCTTTATCCTCCATGGCTGTATTCAGCCTTGGTCCAGATGTTCTCACTGAAGAGGGTAGGAGTAAAAGTATCCAGTCGCGGTTTTTAACCTGTTCTGCAACTGTGTTGCAGTCCAGTAGGGTCAGCTTCCTAGGGACACTCAGTTGAACTTGAGGTTCTTTGAGTTGTCGAATGCAGCTGAGATATTACAGCCTGTAGTTGGAGGCCATCAGAGTTTAATGGAATTCAGTGAACTCTTTTCCTCCCCTTAGGGTACATTTTTAGTTGGCCAACCATCACCCCAAACACCTGGAAAACAACTGACTACTGCATCAGTTGTTCAAGGAACACTGGGGGTCAGCTCATCGTCTGCACAGGGACAACAGACATTGAAAGTCATCTCTGGACAAAAAACCACTCTGTTTACACAGGTAAATGCGTGCCCACCTGCATGCCTAACACATAGTCTTTTTTTCCATTAAGTAATTTATTCATTTTACTTCGTGATTGCAGCCCAAACTCCTCCTAGTTTCCCTCAGATAGCCTCTCCCCAACCCCACCCTCCACTTCATCTCTAAGAAGGTTGAAGTCCCCACCCCTACCCCCGTAGGTACCAGCCCACCCTGACACCTCAAGTCACTGCGAGACTAGGTACATTCTCTCCCTCTGAGGCCAGCCAAGACAGTTAGTTCCATTAGGGGGAACAGGATCCACAGCGAGGCCACAGAGTTAAGGTAAACAAACCCCTGTTCCAGTTAACACATGGTAATTATGCCATTTAGTCTGTTTTTCTTTTATGTAAAGTTTAGAAAATCCAAATGAAGTTAAGGTTACATAAGAAGCTAAACAAAATAGCTCAGAAAAATTAGAATAAGCCTCAGATTTAGAAACGTATAATTAGAGTGAGGAAAAATAAGGCCAAAGGTTATTCAGATATGTGAGTGGGCAACCTTGTATAAATGATAGAGTGTAATTTTTATGGTAGAGGCCAAAGGGGCAGCATAGCTAACTACAGTGGCCACACTTGTAAGAGAGGATGGCCATTGGCTTCTGTGGAAGACACAGATTGCTCAACTCCTGGCTCTAGCATTTCTGTGAAGGGATTTCATGTGAGACACCCTAAATAGTGAAGTAGATTATTTCCCACAGCACAAGTGTTGTGATAGACTAGGGGCACATTTCTACAGAATTCTTTAATATAAACCAAGCAGTGTCAGGGTTCCAGTGTCTTCCATGGATATATCATTAATGACAGGGGTCAGAAGAGGAGAACAGTGTGGCAGTGCCTTCCCAGAGCCTGGGCACCGAGCCTCTACTGGGTTCTTGTTTTGTTAGACACATTTTCTGACCTTTGTGCTAATCATAAGGCTTTTAGCTTTTGGATTTGTCACATTGTTCTTAGTGATACACCATTTGTGTGATTTCTGGAGCAAACCACATTTGCTTTTCCTGTTTTATCCTTTATTAGTGTATTCATGAGTTTATTTAGCATTTTTCAGGAGACATTGATCAGTGGTTATTTTCTGTCTAGTTTCCTTAACTACAATTTTAATTTATTTACTAGATAAAAGACCATTCCAGTTGTTTCTTGATGTTTTGGGGGTTCGTTTTTTTTTTTTTTTTTTATAATTATCCACCACTGGGCTCATCAGCTAGCTTTTGTATACAATCAGTTGACTGTTGTTTGTATTGTTATTATAATTTTTTACTGGGAAGAATATGGTAGGCTCTGTTTAGTTCATCATTCTCAACTGCGTACTTTTTCATTGCTGTGACAAAAGGGCTGACAGACACAGCTTGAGGGAGGGGAAGGGGGAGAGGGTTTATTTTAACTCACAGTTCTGGAGTACAGTCCACCTAGGACATCATGGCAGCCAGAACAGGAGGCAGCTGGTCTTGTTACCTCCCATGTCAGGAAGCAGAGAGTTGAATAAATGCTGGTACTCAGACCACTTCCTCATTTTTATGAAGCCTAGATCCCAACCTATGGGATGTTATCACCCAAAATTATGGTAACTTTAAATCCCATCATGCTGACAATCAAGATTGACCACATTATGAAACAAATTTTTTATGAATCAAAGCAAAGATCCACAAGGAATATTGAATTGCATTAATATTCATCAATGTATGATGGCAAAAATATATAAGGCACATATAAAGACCAGTAGTTCTGTATAAAGACCAGCAGTTCCATATAAAAGGAACTTAAAGGAGCTGGGGAGATGACTCAGCAGTTACGAGGCTATTCTTCTGGACCACCTAGGTTTTGTTCCCAACACTCAAAGGACAGTTCACAAGCCGTATCTCTAACCCCAGTTCAGAGGGTCGAGTGCCCTCTTCTGAGTTTGTGCCACTATATGCATGTGGTGCACATGAACACATGCAGGCAGAGCACTTAGACATAAAAGATAAAAATAAACAATTCCTTAGTAAAACAACAGTAACAGAATTATAGAGGGGAAACTTCCTTCCTTCCTTCCTTCCTTCCTTCCTTCCTTCCTTCCTTCCTTTTTTCCTTTCCTTCCTTCTTTCTTTCTTTCTTTCTTTTTTTTCCTTTGAGACAGGCTGAAATCAAATTAACAGAGATCCTCCTGCCTCTGCCTCCTGGTACTGGGATTAAAGGCATGTACTACCAAGACTAGCTTGAGGGAGAACTTTTTAAAAATGTCTGAGAACTCAGCTCATCAGTTGGGTAAATACTATACAGAGTTTGAGGGATTGAGGTTATGTATGGCACAGTGGTAGAGTTCTTTCCTAGCATACTCGAGGCCCTGAGTTTAATTCTCAGTATCAAACCAAATAACAGCAGCAGCAGCAGCAGTAGTGGTAACTGAGTAATTGAGCAAGGCATGCTGCTGTTGCTTGCCTGCAATGCTAGCATTTAGGAGATTAAGGCAAGAGGATTGTAAGCCCAAGACTAACCTGGATACATAAAAGAGAGTTTTGTTGCAGTGGCATGCTGTATTTTCTGTCGTATTTTCAAGTAAGGAGTTAAGGTGCCAGACAAGGAGACGCAGACAGGCAGGTCTCTGTGAATTTGAAGCCAGCCAAGGTTGTATGCATAGAAAAATCCCTGTCGACGGATGGATCGATGGATGGATCGATGGATGGATCGGTAGATCAATAGAACGATCCAGTATCTATCTTAGAGCACCATTAACTTACCTGACTGAATCTTGCCCTACACGATTTTACTATCTCATGTTTAAAGCCTTTCTGTGGAGATGGGTAATAACACTTAAGCAAGGATCTCAGTTCAGGTTCCCAGCACCCCTGTAAAAAGGTAGAGGTACTAGTATAGCAACCTGTTCAATCCTTGTACCCTACATACAGGTGGAAAGAACCAGCTCCACAAACCATAGCATGTGTACAGCTGCCCCTACCCAAAATAATAGTAATTAGAAATTTTTGTTTTACATTTAGTGTGGCCATGCACACATAACCCTAGTGCTATTGAGGCAGGCACGGTAGGATGACTGGGAGCTGGCTACTAGTCTAGCTCCATGGTCAGTGAGAGACCCTGTCTCCAGGAAAAAAGGCAGAGACTAATAGAGGAAAACACTTGAGGGTCCTCCTTTGGCCTCCATATATGCACAGTCGTGTGCACCTGCACACATACATGCACATACATCACACCACACATGTAAAAATACTCCATGAAATTTAAGAAAATGTTGACTTAGTTATTTTGAAAACAGAGGTCCTGATATCTTTGAAGATACTAATCACAAGTAGTAATACATTCATTTATTTGTTCCATTTTCATGTAAAGGAACCTCATAGGTTGTAGAATTCAACTTGTTGGAAAAGTTTGTACATACGCCACACAGTCCTCATTGAATACAGATAAAGAGTAAGTTGTGCGCTGTTGTCATCCAATCTTTTGATTGCTGCAGGCAACCACTGCTGGGCAGACATCGCTGCTGAAGTTACCTGACAACACCCTGAAGTCTGTGCCAGCAGCTCCACAACTCGCCAAGCCTGGGACCACAATGCTGCGAGTGGCAGGGGGTGTGATCACAGCTACTCCCTCCCCTGCTGTGGCCTTCTCGGCAAATGGTGCTGTACACCAGGTGAGAGGAAAGCAGAAGTGAAAACAAGCCTGACTGACCAGGACACCTGCAGGCACAAGTAGGCCTTTTAAAAACCCTTGAGATGGGAGGCCTTCGTAAAACTGAAGTGTAACATTCACATAACATGAAATGGACTATTTTTAATATGTACTCTGGTGATTTTTATTATAGTTACAGCGTTGGCTAGCTCATTTTCCTTGTCCCCAAAGAGATCCCATACCAGTCAGCAGCTCCTTTCTAATCTCCCTGCTTCCAGCTCTATGCAAAATGCTCACCTTCCTTTTCTATTTTTTTTATTTTTATTTTAGATAGGTGTGGGTGTGGAGATCAGAGGCTACTCTCTCTCTCCACTCATGGCGTCCAACTCTGATTGTTAACTCATGAGTCATCTTGACTGCCCAAGTCTTTCTACATGGATTTTTCTATTTGGAGAATTATATCTAAATGTAGTAGTAACACATGGCCTTTTATCTTGGTACTTCTGCTTAGTGTGAGTTTTGTTTTGACATAGTCTCACTATGTAGCTCAAGGTAATCCTTGCCTCTGCCTCCGTAGTGCTGGAGTTACAGGCATGCACCACCACACCCATCTACATGACATTTGCAGGATTTATTTATGTTGTAATATTTAACAGTTTTCCATTTTTTTATATCTGAATGACAGTTAGATTTATGAATTTTTTTTTGTCCATCACTTAGTGGAATCTGTAGTTTTTGACTATTAGGAATGCTGCTATAAACATGTATATACACATTTTTTATTGTTTACAGAGCTAGGAGTGGAGTTGCTGGTTCGTGTAGGAAGTCTTAATATTCTGAGGAATTGATGATGTAGATATGCTGTTTCATGTCAGCCAGTTAGAAGAGTTACACTTTCTAAATCCTTATGTATGTATGTATGTATGTATGTATGTATGGTGTGTGGATGTATGTATTCTACTATAGAGAGGTGGGTTCTCTACTTGGAGTTGAACTCAGGTCACCAAGCTTGTGTGGCAAGCACTTTTATCCACCAGGCTATTTCAGTATTCCAGATTTCTTTGATAGTATCCTGTGAACAACAAATAGTATTTATTTTGATGAAGTCCTATTTACCTGTTTTGTTTTCTCTCTCTTTTTATTTCTTTTTATCTTTTGGGATTTTTGTTGTTTGTTTGTTTGTTTTTGGTTTTTCGAGATAGGTTTTCTCTGTGTAGCCCTGGCTGTCCTGGAAGACACTTTGTAGACCAGGCTGGCCTTGAACTCACAGAGATCTGCCTGCCTCTGCTTCCCAAGTGCTGGGACCGAAGGCATGCACCACCATACCTGGCCCTGTTTTGTTTTCATTGCTCATGTGGTACGATATCTAAGAAACTGTTGCCCATCCACAGTTCTCTCTCAATTTGCTCTGTCTTGAGTAGACTCTAGTTTATGGTATCAGGTTTCAGAACCAAGCTTCATTCTTTATGTGTAAATATCTAGCTGATCCAACATCATTTGTTGGGAAATTGTGTTTTCCCTTTAAGTGTCTCTTTGTCAAACCTGTGGCAGCCGCTTATCTTGTGCCCAGTGGTTGTGCTGCTGAGCCTTGGAACCCTTGTGTCCCATAGTCATCAAGGCCATTTTCCTCTACATGTTCTGAGATACCAAGACGCACTTTGTCTGCTGCAGCTCTTGAATGCCCCTGCAGTGTACAGTTGTTCTAGTCGCCTCCTTCTCTGGTACTGTCACTTCTCTCACAGTTGAATAAAGCTCATTTTATTCTACCTAAATAATCTGAAAACACACCCTGTGTTTTTGGTATTGAATAGCTTTTCATAAATGATAAAATGCTGACAAGATGGCTCAGCAGGCAAAGGCTGTTGGCGCGCAAGGCTGGAAGCCTGAGTTGGATTCCCAGGTAAAGGAAAGAAACAGCTTTTCTCTGTTCTCCACATGCTTGCACGCATGCACACTTGAACACTAATAATAAACTTTTCATTAAAAAAGCATATCCAGTAAACCTTTTTCCATTTAATGACTAACTGCAAAGGTATTTTTCTGGCCTACGAAATATAAAAATAGAGGAACTACTAAATTGGAGAAACCATCCTATTTGTGTGTGAATGTAAGGTCGGTTATAAGTATGTGCCAGACATAATTTAGGCCGTGTTGGCAATCACAGCCAGGGCTTTGTGTACAGTAGTGTCCCACCAACTGAGCTACATCCTTGGCCCAAGAAACCATCCTTTTTGGGCCTGAAAAGATGGCTCAGTGGTTAAGAATACTTGTTGCTCTTCTAGATGACTTAAGTTCACTTCCTAGCACCCATGGAAGGCTGCTCAGCCACTTGTAAGCCCAGCTCAATGAAATCTGTTGCCCCTCTTGACTTCTGCAGGCACCTACACAAACATGACACACATGTACACATCACATATATATAAATAAAAGTAAATCATTAAAAAAAATTTAAACTATGTTTTTGAAATTGTGTGGCCTAGACTAGGCGATGGTTTAGCTTCTACAGGTGTCTACCAGCAAGCCTGGCAGCCTGAGTCGAATTCTCAGTCCCCACAGGGCAGGAGGAGAGAACTGATCCCCTACAAGTTGTCTTCACACACCTTCACATGACTGACATGGAACATGTGCCCTCATATGGAAACATGACATTTTATGGGTAGTAGTGATCAATTCGTGCTGTTTACTGGTGTGCTGTGTGTGAGCCGCTGCGCTGCGGAAGTCCCAGTGCCACTGTCTTCCTAACTCTCTTTCTGTCGCCCTGGTTGAACAGTCTGAAGGATCAGCCCCCGTGTCATCCTCTGTCGGTTCTATAATCAAAACTCCTGGGCAGCCACAAGTGTGTGGAAGCCAGGCCACCGTGGCGACCTGCAAGGGCACAGCTCCTGCTGCTGTCACTGCCACATCCCTGGTGTCTGCACCAAGCTCCATTTCTGGGAAAGCCACAGTGTCAGGTGAGTACCGTGACATTCCTTCTCTGTCTCATTTGACCAGAGTATGTTTGGAAGGTGCTCATATTTTTTTATTTCATTAAATGACTCAGAAATATTTTCCAAATGGCTACTTTTGTAAACCACATTTAGTGTGGGATGAAGGAGTGACGGACTACAGGTAACGAGTTGCTTCCCGGGCACCAGGCTTGTCGGTAAGAGTCCTTACTCGGTGGAGTCCGGAACTCGTTATACGGACCAGCTTGGCCCAGACTCCTGCCTCTGTGCCTCTGCCTCCTGAGTGCACTACACCGCCATCATTGAGACAAGCCTCTTGAGGTGCTTCCTTTTTCTCTTCCTCCCATATCCTGACTCAAAAGAAGAAAAAAAAAAGCTTTTTCTGTAGCATGGGCCCCGGAAAGGCTAAGGAAGCCAGGCCTGCAGTGTGTACGTTTTCTTATATAAACACTGAAATGATGAAAAAGCAAATGATGACATTGTTGAGATAAATAATCAGAGAAGGTTGCGAGCATCGACAAGGCATTGGGTGAACTAAATACTGGTTAGTTTGTAGTCAGAGCTTTGTCCTTGTATTGCTTTTCAACTGCTTATCATACAGTATCTTCATTAAAAATAGGAACTTAAAAACTACAAAATACCAGGTCATTGTCTTACTCCAAAGGACGTGTCTCGACAGCAGTTGCTGCTTTGCCTCCCTGTGTTACTCTGTTACTCTGTGTTTGCAGAGATTCCTGTCCTGTTTTTTGTTGTTTTGGTTTTTTTGCTTTGTTTTGTTTTAGGACAAGGACACTTGAAAAATAAATTATTATATCAAAGTTTTATTGTGAAATCTCCATTATCCATTGCCTCCTGCGTCCAACTTTTTATTTACTAAAGTATGATTGTCCTAGGAACTTCCTTGTGGGAGAAACTGAGAGTGTCACAGAGGGCAAGAGCTTGAGGAAATGCCTGACCTTTACTTGGCATTGTCTTCCCACTTTAGGATTGTTAAAAATTCATTCCGGTCAGTCCAGTCCCCAGCAGGCTGTCCTGACCATCCCCAGTCAGCTCAAGCCATTAAGTATCAACACCTCTGGCGGCGTGCAGACTGTCCTGATGCCTGTGAATAAAGGTGTGTCCCACCCTTGTACTGATGCAGCTCTGTCTCAGGAAGCCTCCTACTAGGTGGTGATGTCTCTTTGCTTTGTATAGCTTGTCATTTAACTTTCATGTTTCATTTTATGTGCATGAGTGGGTGCATGCAAGCGTATGAGGTTACAGGACAACTTGTGAGTTAAGTTCTTCTACAGTGTGGGTCCCAGGGATTTAACTCAGGCTGTTATGATGCCTGGTGGTAAGCACCTCTGTCCCCTGAGCAATGTAGCTTGGCTCTAGCTGCCCATTTCCAAAGATATGTCAAAAAAGAACACTGAGTGTTTGTGAGAGTTGGGTTTATTTCATTTTTATTTTCGTAGTTTACTGACATGCCCTCATCTCCATAGTAGAAGTTATAACTCAGTTATTCTGCCACTATCAGGCGACACAGCCTAAGATTGTGGTGTACATTAAAAATGGGCTTTCACATGGGAGTTAGGTCATTTGTAATAAAAATAATTTCTGTCTCTCAAGGAATACAGTAAAGAATGTAAATGTCATAGGGTGGGAGTAGGACCATGCAGCTTTGTTTTCTGGACATAGCGTGGCCATTGCTTTCAGGAATGCAGTAGCCATGATGGTCACCTACCCAGGGCTTGCACAGGGCTGGGCCTGTCAGCTCTCTCTTGGATGGGAGAGGGCCTTCCAAACCCAGCCCTCCACAGGGCCACTGTTGGTAGTTGATGGTTACTGAGAGAAGGGGGTTTCATCTTTAGTGGTCTAACCACTTGTGAGTAGACAGCTCCACACCAAGGCCCATGTGTCCAGTGCTGGTTAAATTCAATCTCAAAACAAAAAGACAGGGTAGTGGAAGCAGCTTTTGGGAGACAGAGGAGCTGGTGGCATAAGAGAAGATGTCGGAATGAGTGTGACCAGAATATATGATATGCATATATAAAATTGCTGAAGATTAAAGAAAATAAATACTAATTTCTGTCACTATTATACTCTCCTCTTTCTGTGTCTTAGTGGTTCAGTCATTTTCTACCAGCAAATTACCTACTGTCCTGCCCATAAGTGTCCCAAATCCAGCTGCCCCCAGCTCTGCTCCAGTAGCAATTGCCAAAGGTATGTAGGACCTCACAGTATCTTTGTTCCAAAGTTTCTTGCTTAAAATTTCAGCATCTGTCAGTCAGTCACTTGAGAAATACATGCTAAGCACTGTGTCATAGTTTAAGGGAAATAGACATTGTAGGGCATCAGACATCATTTTTGCCCTTCACTTTATAATCTGGTTCAAAAGAAAGACACATAAATAGCAAACTGTGATTGGTAAGTACAAAACAAGTAGTCTGAAAGGTGACTACTGACATATTACAGTTCAGGATTTATGTCCAGGGCTCTCAGGGACAGGACTTGGATAAACCAGACTTTTAGAGTGAAGAGCCCTGCAGCTGCAGGGAGGTCATAGTTATGCTGGTTTGAGGGAACAATAGAGACAAAACTGAAGGGCTTGGTTTGGAACTTGAGCCCTTAAGGATGCACTTAGGCAGCATAGTTGTGAGAAGGGAGTTTTAGTAGGAGCAGACTGCGCTAGCAGGCTATCCCTGATTATAAGAATAGATTAATAAAAGGTGGGTCCAGTGGATCATTTGTGACACCTAGCAATGGCAGGCTCATATAATCTGAGCCTCTAGTATATTAGTCCCAGTACCTGCTGCTTTGTGGATACAGCACTATCAGTAATTCTTATGTCAGTCCTTAGTCAGCTGTCACATCCTAGATTGTGTTGGGAATGCACACCTCCCACGTACAGGAAGCAGTGCAGTTGAGATTTGTGCTGCTGTTCAGGCATTCTGGGATCCCATCATCTTGGGAGGTGGATTTGTAATTTGCTAAATGTTCATTTAAAGCAGAGTAGAGCTGACAGGTCCAGGACCTGAAGTTGGTAGTAAAGCTTTATTGGCATACAGCCACTCCCATTCGCCTTCATATTATTTTTCAAACTCCCCAGAATTTGGTTCCTTCAGAGAGAGCATATGACTCACAAAGCTCCCAATATTTGTGGATTACCCTGTGTAGGGGAGCATTTCTTTGCCCTTGAGTGAAATTTGCTACGAACGCATTAATGCCACTCTGTACCAGACTGATGCATTTAATTCTAGACCAGGACAGAGCATCTTTTATTTTTGGTTTTTATTACATTAACTATATGTGTGCACATTGGCATGCCCACACCATGGCACACATATAGACGTTTAAGGACAGTTTTCAGGAGTTGGGTCTCTGTTTCCACCATGTGTGTTACAGGGACCTAATTCAGGATATCAGGATTGGCAGCACATTCCTTTGTCCACTGAGCCACCACACCAGCCCTCTTATTTTGATTTTAAGCAAAGTAAAATGTGCAGTGAGGTGCATAGCCATTAAATACAGTAAAACCTTTTTTCAATAAGCCAAGGAGAGAGAGGGAAGACTCAGTAATACCAAATATCCAGAATGTAGAAAGGGGAAGAAGGGACAGAAACAATGGTTCCGGGCCATTGTTTGGCTAGTAGGTGAAAGTACTTGCCACCAAGGCTCCCAAGGACCTGAGTTAAGGCTCCAGGGCCCACACTGTGGAAAAGAGACCCAATCCCCACTAGTTGTTCTCTGGTCTTCTCACATGCCTTGGTATGTGTATGTCCATATATATACATATGCACACATACCAAACAAGGTTAAAATAACAGAGGGGCAGATGTGGCAACTGGAGGGATGGCTCAGCAGTTAGAGCTCTTACTGCTCTTGCAGAGGACCTAAGCTTGGATACCAGCACCGTATCCCAAGCTCACAGCTGCCTGCAGCTCACAGCCTCACCCTGGGGGAGCTGAGTCTTATGCCTTCTTCTGCCAATACATAATAGCCATGAATAAAAATAAAAAAATCAGTATTACATTTGTAAGGACAACCTTAACCGTTTTAAGAGAAATTAAAAGGAATAAATAGAAGAATATATCGTAGTTCAAAGTGCAAACACATAAAATAAAAGAGCCAAAGTTAGACATGGTGGTGTACCCTTTTAATCTCAGCAGTCTTGAAGCAGAGGCTGACATTGGCTTTTTAGTGAGATACTTCCATGAGGCTATTAATTAACTAATTATTTTGCTAGCAGAACAATCTTGAACAGGAGTCAAGAGGACAGGATAGCAGATCTGAGCCTGAGCCTTTGAAGTCGTCAAAGATTACAAAGACTCCTGAAATAGAAAATAATGCCAGTGATGCAGTCAGTGGAGAGGGGTTGTCTTTATGACAAGCAGGGGGAAGTGGACATATTGTGTCTGAAAGCAGCAGCACTCCTGCCTTACGTCAAAGGTAACAACTATTAGAATATAAACTCAAATATGAAAGATCTAAAATCTTTTTCTGGAAGAAACTATGAGACACAGGATGTTGGAAAAAGGACTTAATTTTTGAGACCCTTGCTTTATCAGAGAATATTAAAAGCAAAAAATCAAGCTATAGACTCTAAGATACTCTCCACAAATATATATACAATAAAAGAGTCATGTCTTGAATGTATAGAGACCACTCAAAATCAGTGTGAAAAATACTGATACACACTTCTCAGAAGAGGACATCCAAATAGCTCAAATCCTGTGAGAACTATTCAGCTTCATTAGTTATGAAAGGAAATGTAAATTAAAACCCTAGCAATGAAGCAGGATCACCGAGAATTCAAAGTTTACCCAATACAGAGGCAGTGAGGCGTGTAAAGCAACCAGGGACTGGGTTAGCTGCTGTGGGCTAGACACACCACACACAGACATACACTCGTGTACTTCAGTCAGGGAAGAAACTATGCAGAAACAAGAACTGTGTCAGCATTGTGTTTTCAAAGGAATGTCCTCTGAGATATTGCTGTTTACACCAGCAAAGTTAATGCAGCTTGACTATTTTCTGTCAAGGATAGAAAAGTTTTAAATTTTATAGTGTTTGCACACATATGTACATATGTAATACCTTGGGAATGAAACTCGAATGTGAACAAGAATGGATTTATGCTTCATATACCCGAAGATAATTTTATATATTATTTTTAATTAATTTTGTATGCATTGCAGCTGCTTGTAGTGGCTCATCCCTGTCACCCTAGTATTTGGGATGCTGAAACAGAAGGATTTTCCTGAGTTCCAGGCCAGCTAGACCACAGAGGAGATTCTAGGCCATCCCTAGGCTAATGAGACCTTGTCTCAGAATACCCAAAATAACATCATAATAATAGTTTGTATACATGAATGGTGAAGTAGCATGCTGGAATTCAGACAGCTTTGGGTTGTGGCCTATGGTTTTGAAAGCCAGATAGAATTAACTTGAGAACTGCCAAGTGCAACAGATCTGCTTTTTGTTTTCTACGTTGTGTCTCAAAATACTAGAATAATATTTCAGCTTGGTAAGCTCAGCTGGAAAGAGGATACCAGAATGGACACATCCAGAGCTAGAACAGTTGCTATTGTGTGCTAATATCAGTCCTGGGTGGGGTGAGAAACATGCAGAGCAGCATGTGTGGTGGGCCGTCCACTGAGAGTCAACTCCCTCTGAGACCTAAATCTCACGTGCTGAGCCTTTGAGGGCAGAAGCCATTTGAGTCTCCTGCTTTGTCCTCACACCTTAGGCAACAGAGCCCTCAGTTAAGTTCAACTGTTCGGAGGGCTCAGAGTCTCCACCACTGGCCCCTGACGGCTCTCTTTGTTAATCTTCCTTTGTAGTGAAGACTGAACCAGAAACTCCTGGGCCAAACTGCGTTGTCGCACAGGAGCACCAGGTAGAAGTGAAAACAGAAGAGAGCTCTGAGCTAAACAACTATGTCATTAAGTGAGTATCTATGTCTTCTAAGGGGCTCTGCTTTTAGTGTCTCTATGAGCTTTTCAAAGCTCATATGTATGTGCAAGCTGAGTATGTGCAGACAGTGAGGTAAGCATGCTAGGGGCTTTGTTCTTGCAGAGCTGAAGAGTTTATTTTTTTTTTATATGTATGTGTATTTTGTCTGCATCTATGTCTGAATACCACTTGTGCACCTGATGTCCAATGAGGCCAGAAGAACGTAGTAGATCTCCTGGGACTAGAGTTTCAGATGGTTGTGAACTGCCATGTCAGTGATGGGAATTGAACTTGGGTCTTCTGGAAGAACAACCAGTGCTCTTAATTAAACAGTGAGCCATCTTTCCAGCTCCTGAGAATTTAGCCAGTGATATAGCTTAAAGGTAGCACTTGATCAATGGAGGACCTCCAAAACTTACGTGAGCCTGCTGACTGATATGCAGTCTGGGCTGAGTGGGAATGGCATGCTCAGCACACCCCGCCTGTGCTTCGCAGGTGCCTTTGCAGAGCCGTGTGCATTCCTCTTGCTTTCTCTAACATTTTCTTTTTCAAATTAGGAGCCTCCTTCTGATCATGCAACTTTGAATTGCTGGTAGCTTCTAGAGACAGTAGAAACATGGTGTCCTTTAAGATGACACATGGAGGCTTCAGTCAATAAGCCTAAGACAGGCATTTGTATAATAACAATCACCTTACAAACAGATCTTGCTACTAATTTTCAAATGTAGATAAAATGTCTGCGATAGTTGTATAATTACCCAAAATCTGTTTGTTCTTGATTTTTTTTAAGCATAAAATGCCTTATAAAAGGAAATCTATGACCACAAATGGTGGTGCATCCCCATAATCCCAGCCCTGAGTGAGTAGAGGTGGGAAAATCAGGAATTCAAGATCAAATTTGAGGCCAGCCAGGGCTACATGAAACTCTGTCTTTAAAAAAAACAGCCGGACAGTGGTGGCACACGCCTTTAATCCCAGAACTTGGGAGGCAGAGGCAGGCAGATTTCTGAGTTCGAATTTGAGGTCAGCCTGGTCTACAGAGTGAGTTCCAGGACAGCCAGAGCTACACAGAGAAACCCTGTCTAAACAAACAAACAAAAAACAAAACAAAACAAAAAAAAAAACAGAAAGAAGAAAGGAAAGAAAGCTATTTACTAAGGCGGGGAGGGGGAAGAGAAAGAGAGAGAACAAGAACATGTGACAAGCCTGTAGAATTGTCTTTGTTTACCTTTCCCAGGGTAGACCATTTGGAGACTATCCAGCAGCTCTTGACAGCAGTAGTCAAGAAGATCCCATTAATTACTGCAAAAGGTAAGGCAGTACCCTCTTGTGCATTTTGTTAAACTATAAATCACTTGGGGTGTTACCACAATCGTAACTTTTAGCCAGACATTTGCAGGGGTCTTGGATTCACAGTATCTTGGTTGCATCCAGTTAGACTTAGGGTACGGACAATGCTAGCAACAAAACCAAGAGCCCTGTGTATGCTAAGCAGATGCTTCACTACTCAGCTCCTTTGTCCCAGCCCCTCACTTAGTCTTTAATCACTTATTTCTTGTATTTGTTTGTGTATATAAATGATAAATGTTAAGTACACACTACTAAGATATAGTGTGCCACCCGCACTGTCTGCTGTGGGTGCTTTACATACACATTTCATTAGCCACAGTCTTTTGTGTGATAGTGTCTCCCCCAGTTCACAGCTCACAGTCAAGGACATGGCAATGATACCAAGTTAACTAACTCTCACAGCTCTGCATGACAAGGCGGGTACACATCCAGCCCTATAAGACCATTAATCTTTCTCCAAGTTTTAAAATGATATACTGTTTGGAAATATGCAGTTTTCAAGACCCCAGCAACAGAGTCTGCTGTGTTGTGGCCCTGGTTAGTGGGATGCAATGGCTGATGCCTTATCTAAGTTGTTCTGACAGTAAAGGTTGAACAGATAACCTTACTAAGGGTGATTTGCTCATGGACAAGATCCCCATGAGAGGCACAGGAAGCTGTGCAGCAGTCTCCTGCCATGCGCATAGTGTGGGCATGAAATGGTAGACTGACCACCTTGCTGATTTTTTTTTTTCCACCTATAGCAGCAGAGAAATTGCTAAGCCTTGTGGTACAAGCTCGTAATCTCAGCTCTTTGGAAGGATCATGGAGAACTATTTTGAGTTCAAGCCCTGCCTAGGCAACTTAGTAAGACCCAGTCTCAAGTTTTTAAAAATATAAAAAAGAGGGCTTGGGATGAAGTTCAAGAGTGGAGCACTTATCTAGCACATGGAGGGTCCTGGTTAGATCTCTAGCATTGACTTTTAAAATAAAATGTCTCCTTTTCTCATTTTGGGAATCATTTTGAGGTAGTTAAAAATATGCTTTCATGATGGTTTCCCATCTTAGCGGAAAAGATGTGTCCCACACTTGCCCTGTGTGTGCTGCGCATGCACTTGCTCTCTCTCTTCCTTCCCTCTGTCCACTTACATAAATATTCAGAATGTTAAAGCTAGAACTGGGCAATTCAAGACCCATCTGTACAGTTTACAGGGAAGGACACTGAAGCCTGGAGTGCTATGGCTTACCCAGGGCTACCCAGTGAGCTGGTGGCAAGGCCAAGCCCCTAGTTAACCTCCGTTACATCTTTCATCTGTTGCCTTTATCCATCATGGAGATATGTTGTTCAGTGAGAAATATGTCACACAAAGAAAGTGTGGGGCCAGTAAGATGGCTCAGTGGGTAAAAGCTCTTGATCTGCAGGAAACCTGCATCAAACTTCAGATTGTAGAGCCAAGCATGTTGGCACATCCCTTTAACACCAGCACTCAAAAAGCATAGGTTGGCACATCTTAAAGTTGAGGCCAGCCTTGACTACTAATGGACCCTGTCTCAAAAAACCCCAAAATATAAAAATCAGTCGATAACTAGAAAAAATTCAGATTACAATAGTACATACATCTATCATGCTGGTGCATCTTTACCACGAGATGAGAGACAGCCACAAGAGAATTTGCCAGAAACTTGTGGTCAGCCAGCCTCAGAACCTATAACTTAGCAGACAGACATGGGCATTAAATATGAGTCTCAGTAAGGTGGAGGAAGAGAACCAACCCTCAGGAGTTATTTTCTTACTTCCACATGGTATGCAGAAACCCTCACCTGCACACATATGTCACACGCGCAGAATAATAAAATGTTTCTGTTTTCTAAAAGCAAATCAAGGATCTTGGAAATCTAACAATAAACATTTGGTCTAAACGATAACTTTTATTCAGAGTTTGCAGTTCTCTGTTCTAGGTGATGATGCCAGCTGTTTTTCTGCGAAGTCCTTGGAGCAGTATTATGGCTGGAACATTGGGAAAAGGAGAGCTGCTGAGGTAAGTCTGTTTGCTGGCTGAATCTGCAGTCCACTGAAAGTCAAGACAGCACAGTGGAGGCAGACATTTGTGTGCTTTTCCTGTATGAAAAAAGGAGGCAAACTTGCAGTGTCTTTCTTTGTTTCTTAGTCAGAAGCTTCATTCTTCTGGATCCCAGATACCTTTTGAAAGGCTTGCTCTCCTGTACCAGTAAAAGCATCTTGTATTTTCTTTGAAAACTTTATATGTTTTGTGGTTAAAGAGTTGGCTCAGCAGCAAGATGGCTACTATCACAGAGGACTCAAGTTCATTTCCCAGGCCCTGAATGGCAGTTCACAGCAGTCTGTAATTCCATTTCCAAGGGACCCAGCTTCCAGGGCTGCTAACTACACAGCACACGCTTTCTTCTCTCGTGATTCAACTGCGTTTAGCAATACTGTTTTAAGTACTCTGTAAAACTCTGAATCTTTTGGCCACTTCAGACACATACTTCATACACAGCGGTATGCAGGTGGTGCGCACACGCACACACACACACACACACACACAGAATTAACTTACTTAAATTTGTAAATTTCAAAATAACATTGAATTCAGATTCAGTATTACCAAACGCAGTTGAATCACGAGAGAAGAAAGTGTGTGCTGTGTAGCTCAGCAGCCCTGAAAGCTAGGTTACTGAATTTGGTTTGGGGAAAATGAGAAGTTGGTTCATGACCAAGTGAAAAGCCTTAAATGTACACCTAGAAGTTTCTATTTTATTTTGTACACATTAAGACCAATAGTAACTCTTTTTATTACATGTAAAATTCTTACTGTGCATGTGTGTGTGTGCACACACACTCATTCTCACACACATGCCACTGCATACTTGTGAAGGCTGGAGGACATGAGGAATCAGTTCTCTCCTATCATGAGATTCCTGAAAATCAGCTCATTTGGCTTGGTGGCAGGCATCTCACCCCCTGAGCCATCTCACTGGTCCCAGAAGAAGCTCTTTCACATTCCTCCCTTTGTTGATGGAATTAACTCCTTCCCTTTGAGTAATGGAATCTGATTTTTTAGTTGTTTGGTTTATTTCACTGCACAGCTATTGATTTTTAAGTTCAAGGATTTAATTTTGGATCAAATCCTTTTTAAGTGGCAAAGAGCAATGACAGTCCGAAAAGTGTTGCAAGAAATCTTGGAGAAGAATCCAAGATTCCACCACCTGACACCCCTCAAAACCAAGCACATTGCTCACTGGTGTCGCTGCCATGGTTACACCCCACCAGACCCCGAGAGCCTGCGACAAGACGGAGACTCCATTGAGGATGTGCTTACCCAGATTGACAGTGAACCAGGTAGGCCTTAATAGGTTGTCCCGGTGTTGAGCATGGTTGCCTCCCTTCAAGCCCTACAGAACACTTGACTTCAGTGTTCTTCCCTTCAGTTAGGGGTGAGGGAGAGCTGCTCTAGATAACAAGACCCTTTCTTCTTACCATGACACTTCAAACAACACTGCCCTCCAGAACTGTTTATAACCAAGTGTTTCAGGCATTGTACCCCAGCCAGGAATGATTATTTCCTGCCATCTAGTAGGCATGCGTTGTTCTCATGGGTGTGTCTCCCCTGAGTTACTTTGAAGACTCCCAACCCACTCTCTTTCCCTTGCTGTGTGACCTTAGGAATTCCTAGTAGGTGGGTCTGGCCTGCTACCATCAAGATAGGCCTGTGTCTTATGAACGTTACTATACCCCCAAGCCAGGGGAGGCTGTTGGGAGCACATGAGAACAATCAACAGTGTTATAGGAAATATAGTAAAGAAACAGACAGCTGCTAAAGAATAAAATTAGGGGCATAAAAGCATCTGGCTGTGCCTTAAAGAATAAGAAGGATTCAGCCATTGTTCACATAGACATCAGAGTGCTCCACCCTGTCTAGGTAAGTCTTATTTTCTGCAGAAAGCTTCCTGGGAGCCTAGTCCTCAGTAGTCTTTTCTCTAATTTCCTATGGCATGCTGAGAGGGTTTGTTGGCTTCTAGATCTATGTGCTTGGTGACCAGAGACCATGTGATCACCTCCAAGTTTCACTGGTGCTCTCTATATAGCACATAGTCAGAAGAGCAGGCAGCAGCCAGGAGCTGCTGAGCCACCACCATTGTGTTGCTCATAGTAGCCTATCTTGTACCTGGCCTGGGTTTCATGTCCTTTGTAAAAGCGTCTATGGGCATGACTTTATTGTCCTGACACTCTACAACCCATTGAAGGCTATGTGCATTACCATGGCAACACTGAGACAGGAATTCAGGAATTTTTTTTTTTTTTTAAGTGAGAAGTCTCAGGTACTCCAGGCTTCCCCAGAGCCCACTGTGTAGTTGCAGATGAACTTGCACATCTGATCCTCCTGCCTCTGCCTCCCCGAGTGCGACACCTACTTGATGCAGTGCTGGAATCAAACCCAGGCCTTCCTGATCCCAGGGACTCCTACTTGCTTTTGCAAGTGCTCTTACCACCTGAGCTGCACACCAGCTTGAATGGGAATGACTGTATGTTCTTCACTGAAAAAAATTAATTTAATGATTCAGAAAGTGGGGCAGTGGCCTAGTTTTCCAGGACTGGAGTCGATTATGTACTGTGTCTTTGGTCTTAATGGCCAATAGGATACATTTGGAATAGCACACGTGTCTGCTTTTCTACTTTATGAGGCACTGGTTCTCATGAGAGATCCATAGAAAGGTTAGCTCCCTGCAGACTCTGCCTTCCTCAGACTGGGGTCCTTGTCTGTCTTCACCTCAGCTGTCACAGACTGCTTCCTCTTATCTAGAGTGCCTGTCGTCCTTCTCGACTGCTGATGACCTCTGCCGGAAGCTGGAGGATCTGCAGCAGTTCCAGAAAAGGGAGCCTGAGAACGAGGAAGAAGTGGATATCCTCAGCCTGTCAGAGCCACTGAAGACAAACATTAAAAAGGAGCAGGAGGAAAAGCAGGAAGAAATGAGATTCTACCTGCCACCAACCCCAGGCTCTGGATTTGTTGGTGACATCACACAGAAGGTGGGAGGTTAAGGGTGTGGCACTGTTAGATCGCAGATCAGACATTCTACTTCATAAGCTTAGATACCAGTCTGCCCAGTTAACATGTGATGGGCTTTTATCCATAACTTAGGTGTGTTCTCACTCTGCCATGTAAAAAGGTTGTGTGTAGAACATGGATACAGAGTAGAGGAGGAGAGTCACAAAGGCTTTGCTGCTGGGTTTTTTTCTCATCTGCTTCAGAAGTGCTTCTCCTTCCTGAGGCATATTGTAATATTTTCAGGTCATACTTGAATGAGCAGTCCCCATCCATCCCATATTGTCAACTCCCCGACCCCCTGCATTGCCAAAGCCTGTGTTACCTTGTTACTTGGGAGAGAGCTATCCAAACCCGATGATACCTAGCAGCTCTTTAGCATCCGCCTCTGCTAGCTGCTCAGGATCCAAGGGGAAAGGTAGTGTTCGCTCCCACCCAGACCCACAGGGTGCACCCTGGAAGTGGAAAGGTGAGTTTCCCAAGGGCTTTTCTTTGTGCCTTGTAAAAATGGCCCTGGAGTCTTGATTTTAGGCCTTCCAAAATATTGCTTATACATTATGAATTCTTGGTAGATTCCATTGTTTCATGATAAGATATTTGGGGGTAAAAGCATGATTACATATTGTCCAGAGTGGTTAGGGAGCCCTTCTTCCAGCCAGGGGCCTGTGTGTACCAGAGAAGTTCACTCATTTGGGAAAAGGCTTGTTTCTATTGTTGATGGGACAAATGGCCTTCTTCTGCTCTTCCAGATTGGGATTACCCTGCAGCCTGTGGCACTGCACAGGAACATGTATGCCTCAGTAGTAGAGGACATGATCTTAAAGGTAGGTATCTGGTAGCACTGTGACCAAGGCTGGTGAGTTTGGATTCTAGGACCTTGTGAGTAAGGAACAGAAGGAGAACAGAGAGGATGACTTTCAAATCCCTCGTCTTGCTTAGGTTTTATGTTTCCTTTTTCCTAGTTAAAGTAAGTGAAGTTGTGTTCTGTCTAAGGATTGAGGGTTTGTTGTGTTGAGGATAGGACCAGAGTCTCATACATTTCAGGCAGGTAGATGGTCTGCCATGGAGTCCCCTGGCTCCCACCACCATCACCGTCTTTTTAGGGCTATTCCTTATGTCTGTGAAGAAGTATCGTACTGTGAGAAGTGTCTGCTCTTCTGATAGACAGGGAGAAAACAGAGCCGTGGCTTTTCCCTGCTTCCCACAGCAGAAACAGCCACAACTGTCCTGTCCCTGGGCGAGGGGTTAGGAAAGATACGGCTTCCATGCTTACTTCAGCTGTTCTTTTCCCTTTTGCATCCCTCACTCACACTCTGTTTTCCTTAGAAAACTGTACAGTTAATAAAAACCCTTAGTCCAATTTCTAATATCCCTACATCATGACCTCTACACAAACAAAGTTCAATTTTTCTTGAGAACTTTGTACTATTTAGTTGACAGTTATTTCAGAAGTTTGGTAAAGAATGAGGTTGGCTGGATCTCTCCCACTAGTGAGCAGGTGGCTCTTCTGTCAACATCAGTCTTCTATTCTAGGCCACGGAACAGCTGGTGAGTGACATCCTGAGACAGGCACTGGCGGTTGGATACCAGACAGCATCTCCCAACAGGTACTGGTGCTGATAGTGGAGGCAGAATGAGTGGGTCAGTTACTCTTGAAGATACTTGTTTTACCCATACATCAGTGCAGTGGGAGATAGAGTAGGCCTCACTTGAGACCTTAGAGCCTGACAGACTTGAGGATCTATTCTGTAGTTCTGAGAGAGCCTCTTGACTTGAAAGACTAGCTGTGCCCTCCCAGCTATTACGTCATAGACCTGTAGGTCTGTTGTATCGCAGGGTAGAGCAGGCTATCACATTAAAGACAGTAACTGTTCTGTGGCAGATTCTAGGGGCGAGATTGAGAAATACTACCTAAGATGTGTGTCACTGCTGACACACTCTTCCTTTAAGAAACTGGGAAACTAAGCTCTGTAAGGGAGTTGTCTCCACTGCCCCTAACTGCAGGCCTCAGAGTCAGACTCCTGTCACAGGTGCGAGCCCTTGAGCTCACTGCCACCTCTTTCCTGAGCATGCAGCTCTTGAGTGGGATGCACAGTTCCCTTATAAGAGATGCAGTTCACATCCTTTTTTCCCTCTTACTCAAAACAGTACTCTTCGTACTATGTGGAAGGCTACCCTGACCATTGTAATGTGGTACCTCAGGTCATGGGGCCCCAAATAAGGATATTAGATCAGATGTACACAGATAACACAGAGGTCTTGAGTAAATGAGGAGGGGGAGGAAGGAGAGGTGGTAGCAGCAGTAGTTGAAGAAGTTGGAGTAAAAATTTCTAGGCCTCAACCTACTTGAAAAGCAAGAGGAGCCATGCTTTCTATGTTCCTGACTGGAGATGTGTAACGTCACGCTTGGCTGGCCAGGACTCTGTCTCCCATCCTCTGAGATAAGAGATGGATCTGTATCTTTATGGTGCTTTGAAACAAACTTCAGTCTGCTAAGACTTAGATACATACCATTCTCTTCTTGGTACAGCCTCATTTTTTTTTTTCTGTCAGCTATTCATTTGGCCAGCATAGCATCCTCATTCCTATGACCAGAAAGTAAGATTTGAGTCCTGAGTAGGACTGTAGATGGAGAAGAAGTCATGAAAAGTGTGAGAGAGACTGGCTTCAAGCCTTTGCTGTCACCTCCTTCTATAAGAGAACGGCCCCTTCAGTATATTAACTGACTAAATTATTCCTGAATGCATTTGACAAATTATACCTAATTATACTTTTGGGTTTGTTTTGTTTTGATTTGGTTTTTTGGACTAGGGTTCCCAAAGAAATCACAGTGAGTAATATTCATCAGGCCATTTGCAACATTCCTTTTCTGGATTTTCTCACGAACAAACACATGGGGAGACTGAACGAGGATCACTGACTACAGTGAAGAGACCCCGAGAGGCGGGATGGAAGCTGTGTCTGCACTGTGCAAACTGTGGCCCTTGTGTTTGGGGAAAGCTGGTGTTCTCTGTTGGAATGCCATGGCTGCCAAACCATTCCTTCCATCTAACTGTGTGTTATACAAGGGCATCGAGTCCCAGGTGCCCCCCTTTTAAGACAGAGTCGTTTCCAATTCTGGAGGGAAGCTGAACAGACACAGCTTTGTCAGTTTGCATTTCCTTACTCTGACAAGGCTCTGCAGGGTCTTGGTGTGAGACAACCTGTTCTTTCTCTGTGCATACACAGGGTGCTTGCACCCTCTTTGGAGTGTGCTTGGGTTCACCTGAGGCCTGCTTTTCAGAAGGCGAAAATAAGCCCAGCATACTGGGCTGGGGAACTCTAAAGAAAAATGGAGCAAGCAAGTACCTTCTCCCACCTTGCCTCAGCATAGAAGGGCTACACTCTTGGCCAGTGTGTATCAGCTACAGAGAGGGTAATACGCCATGTGGCAAACCCAAGGCCAAGGAGGCTGCACTGAGACTGTGTTACAACAGTGTTGAGGGGTCCCAACAGAGTTTAGAAGGCATCAGGCCTGTGCTTGTGTAACCCAGGAACTACAAGTGTTAGTGTAGGTATCGACCTCAAAGCCAGGCCCTTGAGCCGTGTGTGATCTTCCTATTCGTGTGAGCTTCAGAAGCTCTTGCTGCTGCCCCATGTCAAGGGGAGGGAGGAAGCTCCAGTGCAGACCTTTCTAGGATTGTCCTCTTGGTTGACTGGAGTCCTGTCCTTCTCTGCCAAAGAGTTTTACCAAGATGAAAAGGGTTGAAACACCTGTGAGTGCCTTACCGTGGGAAACCTGCTCTAGCCCCGTGTGCTACTGCTCAGGAGCAGAGCCCCTCAGAGAGATGTGCACACAGGAGGCTCTAGCACCAGTGCACAGTGCGCAGACCCTGGGGACTCGCCAGTCCTCCTAACTATTATGGGGACACAGGAAAGACCTCAGTCTAAGTTGTAAACATGTTCTTTTTATGCTCAAGGGAAACTTGAAATATCTGAGTAAAAGTCAAAGAAATTTACCTAAGCAACATAAAGCCTGTTCTCCGAGGTCCTGTAGGTAGATGGAAATACTGCATGGAGGATAAAATATACCTTTAATTCAGCTCCTGAGAGCTGCAGGTCCAGAAGGGACCCACTGTGCAGGGGCTGGGCAAGCATAGCCTATGGTATAAATTGGCTTAAGGATTTGGCCTACAGACCATATAGCAGATTGATAGGCTGACACACGGATTTGTTCAGAAGTGGACAGAGACCTACATGGTAGACCATCCCAATGAGAACAGGATCATTTGTTGTGATGAAAACCTAAAGAAATTACTTTTTTGCTTAAAAAAAAAATAGTTTCCGTGTATGTTAAAGTTTCAAGTGTTTTTTTTTTAAATCATAATGTGTAATAATTGTGTATCATTTTGTCTACAATAAAACGTTTAGTATTTGCAATGGCTTTTCAGAGTGGAAGCACTGTACTTAGACGGGCTCTTTGGGAGGTAGCTGTGGTATAGGTCTGTGGGTTTAAACTGATGTCTTTCCTTCCTTTAAAAAAAAAAATGCAGCCATGCAATATAAAAGGATCACAGTTACATTCAGGTTACTTACAAAAATAGAAGGCACTTTACTTGGTGACCATGGGCATAATTATTTCACACAAACAACTTGGGGTAAAGGTAAATGCATAAATGGGTTCAGTTTCTCAGAAAAGCAGCCCCTTTGTCTCAAAGCTAGTTTATCTGGTGAGATAATGTTGGTCTGTACTGAGGTCTGAATCCCTCCTAAAATGCATTTCCTATAAAAGAGTATGTACAGTGCACACTGCAGAACTAAGGCTCTAAAATCTGTGGCTTTTACAGGGAGTGTCTGTGAAGAGGCATTGGGATGCAGTCCATGGAGATAGCTGGCTGGGAGGCAACTTGACAGAGGGCCAGCAAGAAAGCAGAGCCCTAGAGAGTAAGGCTAGCCAGGGGCATAAGTCAGTGTGGGGCCCGACAGCTCCCTGGGCCTTGGGTGGCATACCCTATCCAATAGAGGCCAGAAGTCCTGAGTTCTGTCCCTCGGAGCATGCAGAGGTAAGCCCTTGCTTCAGCATGAATGGACTTTCAGACTTCCTGATTAGTTGGCCTTGTAATGTACAGACACCTGATTGAGGCAGTTCCCACACTGCTCACTGTGGTTATGTAATAATTAATATTGAATACTCTTCTCAAATTAACAGATTAAACTCTTTATTTTTCAAAACTTACAGAATACAAAAGTTATTAAATTTTATAGGAATTTTAGCAGGTATGATAAAGTATTTTTAAAAATTTGGGCTGGAGAGAAGGCTCAGTTGAAGTGCATGCAGTACCTGAGTTCAGTCACCAGATCCCACATAAAAAAGGCAGGCATGGTGGTGCACACTTAAAATCTGAGCACTGGAGAGGCAGAGATGGGTAGATCACTTGAGGCTTGCTATACAGTCAGCCTAACCTACTTGGCAAGCTCTGGACCAGTGAGAAAAGTGAAGGGTACCTGAAGAATACTTTTGAGTTGTCTTCTGTCCTTAACACGTGTACCTTCACATACATGAACACATCCCCATACATACAGGAGTACATACATGTATATACCTACATATACACCATATGCACACTCCCTTCTCAGAGATGAGCCCTGCTCATCCTCCAGTGTATTTTTCTGGTCTTTGTGCACATTGTGTGTAAGGTGGACTCAGGACTAAGAGAGCAAGGCTGACATTGGTCTTGGTTGCTTCTTGGGCTGCTTATGGAACTGCATGGCCGTACTCAGATCGTCAATGAGGAGTGCTTTCCTAAGAGCAAGTTTTCTTTTCTCATGAGGACTGGTGAGAAGAGCTATGTGGCACATTGCTGAGGTCCTAGACAACCTGTGACCTAGCAGAGGTCAGCTTCACTTCATGGCCACTATAGTACAACATTACCAGGAAGGGACTGGAGTGCTTTTCTATCCAGATGTAGCAGGGTCATGCATCTCTACACCAAGAGTGAATGCAGGGGTTGCTGTGCATGTGGTGTGGTCACTAGCAGAGTACAGCTGGAGGCTTTTAGCTGGGATATGCCAGAGGCTACAGCAGGACCAAGAGGACCAGGAAGAGTTAAGCGGGAAAAGACAATTGAGCTAGACTGGCTTTACTGTGAATGTTGCCAGCAAGCAAGCAGGGTCTAGGTGATAGCAGCCTTACTTTCAAGTGCAGAAGTAGAATGCCCACTGTCCCTGCTAGTGAGGAAGCAGCAGTGGCACAGATGGCCCCTATTCCCACTTAAGGATGCAGGAGAGCTGAAGTGGGAAGAAGGTAACACCCGCCACGCTCAAGGCATCTGCACCCCTGAGCAAGAAGGGTTTGGAGTTCACAAGCTTCAAGGATATTAGCGTAGTTATACTATATTGTCATTATTGAGGTGACATGGAGATGGGAAAGAATATGCCTGTGTTTATAACAAGTTGCTGCAGAACATTTTTGCATTTTACTAAATTGTTAATCTGCCCAGCAGGCAATCTTTTCCCTCTTAGGAACACTGAACATGCAAACTGACAAATCTAGAGTAACAGGATCCTTGGTGTATGCATATGGTTTCAATTTTCCCTTTAGAAACAACAGCATTTCCTGGACTCGTAAGAGGGAGGTTGGGCCTGCTAGCACCTCTGAGAGGATGCTGTGTGGGAAGTCTGAGCTGCTTCCTCAGCCATGGCTTTGAAACATGAGCCTCACCACCAAAACTAGATGCTCCCATAGGGAGAGCCTGGGAAGAAAAGGGAACCACAAGGAAATCCTTACAGTTCTTACCAAACACTGTGCCAAACCTCTCAGACATAGGCTCTTTCCAATGTTTGAAGGGTTGTGCAAAGGGGAATGGGCTTGTTTCACACAAGACACGCTTGCTGGAATTTATGGAGATGAGTTTTCCAAAGACGATGAGTTGTCCCCTCAGCAGGGTAGTAAGTAGCTAACCAGAGTTGGGGAGCCTAAAGCTCTATAGGAGATACTCTCCAGACATGCTGCCAGCTCCTCGTGAGTATGCAGGGTAGTCCCTATGTGTTGAGGGAAGACAACCTAAATTCGTAAAACAGGGTTCAGCCTCTAGAAACATGGGATGAATGCCATTCATGCTTACAGCGTTCCACTTCTAGGAATTGTTTGCTTGAAACAGAATCATCTGTTTATGTTTGAAATTGAAGAGATGATCTCCCTGGAGATATATCACTACTATGAGAGTTGTGTGCGAGTGATTATATATTAAAACACACACACACACAAACCCCTTAAGGTTTTTGTTGTTTTGAAACAAAGTGTGTAGCCCTGGCGCTCCTGAAACTTGCTATGTAGACCAGGAAGGCATTGAATTCAGAGATCCTTCTGCCTCTGCCTCTAGAGTGCTGGAATTAAAGGCATCACTCCTGGCAACCTAAGATTGATTTCCCCTCTCCTCTCCTCATTTGTTTTGAAGCTGAGTTTCTCTGTGCTGCTCTGGCTGTCCTGTCACTAGCTCTGTAGACCAGGCTGGCCTCAGACTCAGATCAACCTTTGTCTCCCTCCAATGGTATTAAAGGTATGTGCCACCACTGCTGGGCTAATTTCTTAATGGTAAGCACTGCAAAAGGATGAGGATACTGCCTGGGGCTACCATAAGTCATCAAAAAAAAAAAAAAAAAAACAAATAACAAAAAAACACATGCATCTTGGGAAAACCATCCAAAGTGTGAAACCAACCTACCAAAGGCTTGATAGTGTGCAAATTTCTTAGTCTGGAGTAGTTCATGTCACAGCTGAATTGATCATCAGATTTGACAACCTGAAGGATGTCAAATGACCTCCTGCTGGAGGACAGTTGGGGAGGCTGAGTGCAGCAAGTGGTGTCCTGTCCTCCACACCACACCATGTCCAGAGCCAGCAGCCACGCTGCTCCTGTAAGCAGAGAACCAGGCCAGGACTCTGCTTGGTGGGTCTGGCTTTCCCAACCATGGTTTCTACTGGTCACACATTGAGAGTCTGAGGAGCTGATGTCTGAAAGATGGCTGAGGGATTAGGTGTGAATTTCCTCACCTCTGGAACCTGAAAAAGGAAGTGTGACAATGTCAATGGGCTTTTTCCTCAACTTGTCCTAATCCCTGGCTCTGGGAAAAGAATCCCTTGCCCCTTGCAGCAGTTCACAGTGGAAGTTAGCAGAATGAACTATGTCACTACCATAGTGGGTCGTGGGGAACATGAATCTCTCCTGCTTTCCTTTGCCCTTCAGTTGGGATGAAGATGCTAAGTAGTCCTGTAGTGCTGGGAAGGAACCCGGAGCCTCGCAAGAGTCAGTTTGGTTTTAGTATTTCCACAGGGAACAGGGCCATACTGAGGATGGAAGTTAGGGCCTATGTATATAGTCTACCACTGAGCTACACTCCCACCCTTGAAAGTCACTAGCCCTAGAGTAGTAGTCTGGACACAGGCTGAGGTTTAGGAGGACAGACACTGCTCACTAGGGAGTCCAAAGATGCTACCTAGCCAATGGCAGAGGAGCTTTTCTGTTCTTAGGTACATTTTGTTGGATATTCCTGTCCTTAACCATCATGCCATCAAAATCTGATACCATGAGAACAGGCATCTGTCTTCCCCAGTTCAGGCTGACCTGGAAGCTGGCCCCAGGACTGCGGTCCCATCCGGAGCTGTGAGTTGTAATGACTCTGTCTGCTCTTGCCTTTGTGGATCTTGAAGGCTTCACTCCAGTCCAAGCTTGGAATTCCTGTCTGCAACAGAATACAATCGCAACCTTGCACAGGGTCAGTCATTCATTTTCTGCACCCTAGGTTCTTTAAAGAAGCCCTGTTCACTGCTGGTCTGCTTCAGTTCCTAATGAGTCTTTATCCTCCCGCACAAGCAGGACCAGATGCACCAGTTGCTTTAAGCAGATGGACCATCTTAGGAAGAGTTGCTCTTCCGTTCTGAATGTTCCACCAAGAAACCTTAGCCACCCAAGCCCAGGAAAGCAGTGGCAGAAAACCCTCATGCAAGTGAACATCAGGCAGCATCTGGCACACATTTGTCATAGAGACAGACAAGCCCCAGTGCTCACAGCCCTCCAGAGACCTGACACTGCCCTTATGGATTGCAGGCCACTTAGTAGGGAGTCCAAAGCCAGTGAAGGCTGTCACCTTCACACCTACTTAGGTGTAGAGAAATGTCAGTGTAGACAATACCCAGCACAGCAATGGTACATCTGCTTACAACTTAGAAGAAAGAGAAGGCTTAACCATACCTAATGGTCAGGACTCACATGATGGAAGGAAAGAACCAAGTCCCACCAGTCTTCTGACCTCCACATGTGTGTTGTGATATATGCACATGACATGCATGTACATACACAGGCACAACAAATGTAAAACAAAACAAAAACTTCTGAAAATCACAGGGTTTGATAGATGACTTAGCAGTTATGTGTATACTTTTGCAAAGGGCTGTAGTTGGGTGCCCAGTACCCACACCTCAAAATCACCAGGAACTCCAGCTTTAGGGGACCTGCTGCCCTCTTCTGGCCTGTCAGGAACCTGCCCTCATATGCACAAACAGAAATACACATGACTTTTAAAAGTAAAACAAAATCTCTTTTAAAATGTCTTTTTGAAAAGAGAGCCAGCTCAAAACAAAAACCTTCAAGCTGGTCTGCAGTCTGAGCTCCCATGAGCCCCTTCTCTGGAGGGAAAGGACAGGCTAACCCAGGCCCCTGTCACTCACTGAAAATGCTCAACTCTTCCACTCCTGGAGACCTCTTAATCTTGTCAGAGTCCCTACTAAATGGTAAACTCAGGAAGGCCTTTGTAGTGTATTATCCCCTCATGACCACAGGCACAGGGCTCAGCCAGCCAGGCCCAGTGCCTGCCTGTGCTAGGCCCTTCCCCCACACTGGCCCTGAAAACAACAAAGGACTCTTTTCTTGGCAGCATCAGAGCTGATCCTCATTGGGCAGGCAGATGGCATGGGCAAGGAGAGCTGTTGTCTGCTGTGATCAACACTCAGAATTTCAGGGATAAGGAAGAGCTGAGCCAGGGCCTGTCATAATTTTTGCTTCTGAAGCTTCAAGGTTCTAAAGACCAGCTGTCTAAACCATTTGCTGTTCTCTTTCTCCTGGGA